GATTTTATGTATGAATGTTAAGTTTTGAGTGATAACATCAAAGGAACAGAAGATGAATGAGTAATTTCGAGCACAAGAAAAATTGAATTTTATAGGCTCTGTACATCCAAAAGGAAGCAAGAAATGAACAAAGGAAATATATTAAAAAATTCTGAATAAATATATAGAATATTAATACTTAAATATTTTAGCATATAAACATAACAATATCAAAATTGTCATATTTGATTTTTAAAACTCAGTTATGTGATGCTTAACAAAAAACTCATCTAAATCTTTGGAACATGTAAAGATAGAGCTTAAAAGGGTAAAAAAGAGATTAAAAGACAAACCGTAATCAAGAGAAAGCTCATCCTATAAACAATGCCACTCCAGAGATAATGAGCATACTTCAGTGTCAATGAGCACACCCAAAATCCAGACAGTGATTCTTACACCATTTCCCACCAAAAGGAACTAGGGCTCTGAGAGAAATGAATTAGGCTAGATCAGAGGCAATGAAGGTACAGGAGAAGCTATGACATTTTTACTGTTCAAAAAAAGCAACCAAAAAATTCCAGGGAGCCAGGAGTAGTGGTGCATGTCTGTAATCCCAGGGGCTCAGGAGGTGAGACAGCAAGTTCAAAGTCAGCCTCAGCAATGTCAAGGTGCTAAGCAACTCAGTGAGACTCTGTCTCTAAATAAAATACAAAATAGGACTGGGGATGTGGCTCAGTGGTTGAGTGCCCCTGAGGTCAATCCCCAGTACCAAAAACAAAACAAACTAACAAATTTGAGGGGAAAATGGGCAAAGGACTTGAAGAGACATTTCTCCAAAGAAGACATACAAAGAGTCAATAAACAAAAGGTTTTTACATCACTAATCACTAGGGAAATGCAAATCAAAAGAACAAATTACCACTTCACACCTAAGTGTTTTTAAAGATGGAGAAATTGAAAAACTTATACACTGTTAGAGGGAAGGAAAAATGGTGCAATCACAATGGAAAGAGATGTATTGGTTTCCCCCCAAAATTTAAAATACAATAATAATGTAATCCAGTCATTCCACCTCTGGGTTCATACTCAAAATATTTGAAAGCAGAGATAGGAACAGATATTGGTATATGTATGTTTATAGCAGCATCCATACCTGAGCCAAAAAAAGGAAGTCTGACACATGCTATCACACTGATAAAACTAAAAGATAATTATGAAATAAAAGTGAAATATAAGGATAAATACTGCACAATTCCACTTATATGAGGTAACAATAGTAGCCAAATCTATAGAGTTAAAAAGTAGAATGTTGGTCACCAAGGGCAGGGAAGAGAAAGCAATACGAATTGTTTATTGGTACAGAATTTCTGTTCAGGAAGTTAAAAAATATTTTAGATGGATAATGGTCATGATTATACAACAATGAGAAAATACTTAATTTCATTACATCCTGCAGTTAAAATAATCAATTTTATGTTATGTATATTTATGACAATAAATTTAATTACCAGACATTCAAAGAAACCAAAAAGTAGAATCCACACTAAGGCAAAAACTGGCAAGGGTTTAAGAATCAGCAGACAAGGGCATTAAACTATCTTTATGAATTTAGTCCATATGTTCCAAAAGCTAAATCAAGATATAGAAGACATAAAGTAAGATCCAAATCTAATTTCTAAAAATAAAAACTACAGCAATGAAAATCAGTTTATATATTGCAGAAGAAAAGGTTACTGAACTTGATAACAGTAGAAACAAAGAGGAGGTCAGCACATTAAAAACCCAAAAAAGAAAATTATTTTGACCATCTTGATAGACAAAGAAAAAGCTTTGATGAATTTTAACATCCTCCTTGTTTTTTAAAAAACTTTCAGAAAAGTAAGAATAGAAGGAAACCTTATCAATCCAATAAAGGGCATGACACAAAAAAATTTTCAGATAAATTACTATTTAATGGTAAAAGTCTTAATGCTTTCCCTCTACAACCATAATTAAGACAAATAAGTACACTTTTGCTACTTCTAAACAACCTAATTCTAGAGGTTTTATCCCGTGCATTAGGTAAATAAAACAAATAAGTCATTTGGATAGAAAAGTGAGTCTTCACTCTCAGATGTCAGGGTCTTTTATGTAGAAAATATGACAGTGGCTACAAAAAAGCTGTTAGAACCAATAATTGTATTTAACAAAGTTGCAGGATATAAGGTCAATACAAAATTTAATATTATTTTTATGTCATATCAGGGAAAAGTTAGAAACTGATGTTTTTAAGACATGCCATTTAGAATAGCATCGGGGCTAGGGATGTGGCTCAATCGGTAACGCACTCACCTGGCGTGCACAGGGAGCTGGGTTCCATCCTTGGTACCACATAAAAATAAAATAAAGATGTATAATAGCATCAAAAGGTATAAAATGCAATATTTAGGGATAAAGCTGACAAAAGATGTGCAAGGACTGTACACAGAAAAGTACAAAACATTACAGGGGAAAAGTGAAAGGCCTAGATAAATGGGAGGTCTGCTATACTCATGGACTGGATGACTCGATGTTGCTGAGGAATCCATTTCCTCAAATTGATGTATGCTTTAACACAATTCAGTTAAAGCCCAATCAGACTTCTTTGCAGAAATTGACAAATTTATTTCAAAATTCATATGGAAACTCGAACTATTTAGTATAACCGAAACTACTTTGAAAAATAATGAACTTGGAGGGCTAATATTACTACTTTCAAGTCTTATAAAGCTATATAACAATGTGATGCAGACATCAAAATAGACAAATCTTTCAATAAAACAAAGCAGAGCATCTACAAATAGGCCTATATGGGTAGTGATGAATGACTTTCCACAAAAATTGAAAGGTAATTTAGTGATGCTGGGATATACGCATGCAAAAAAAAATGAACTTTAATCCATATATCACAAAACATACAAAAATACTTTAAAGTAAATCATAAATACAAGTGTATAACCTAAAACTATAAAACTTCTGGAATAAAGTTGAGGATAAACTACAAATTAATGCATAGTTACAGAAAGCAGATCTTTGTTACCTAGGGAGCAGGGAATGGGGGCAACAAGAATAGTTTGGGCTTATAGTTATAAATGAGACATAAGAAAACTTTTTGGAGTGATGAAAAAGTATATTGACTGTACTGATGTGTTCTCAAGTGAAAAGTTATGTGTAAACTTAATAATGCATATACTATCAACCTTAATAAAGCTGTTTATAGATGTCCATAAATAAAACATAACTACTAATAGAGGTATGTATAATGAGTTACTAATGGATAACTTTGAAAGTATTAGAGAGGGTAGGGTGGAGGGAAAAGAATTTACAATTCAGTAAAACATATAAAAGAAAAAAAATAAAGTACAATGAAGGGGCAGGAGAAAGCATAGTGAGACATATAAAATAAGACTGTGAAAATATGACCAAATTTGTAAGTAGTCACAAGAAATATATGTGGTTTAAACTCCCATATAAAGTTCTCAAAGTATTTAATAAAAGTTGGTTGCATCTTTTTTATTAAAAAAGTGGTAGTTTCTTTATAAAAGTACAACTACAATAAAATTCACTGAAGAGTTGAAAATAGCATACTATAGTCATGTAAATGTGCTGTTCAGATTTCCCATCAATAAAAAAACTTAGCAGTCCATTTCAAGCAGTGAGTGCAGTTAACTGACAGTCCCCAGTTGCTGACACCTTCAGGAGCCATTTCAGCTTCTGAGCCAGGCTATGTTCTTCCTGGACAGCCCCCAGCTGATGCCTATGAGGAGTAGATCAACTCCTCATATGAAACACTGCTGCCGGTTGGTTTGGTCAAGACTTGGACAATAGTTATATTGTGGTCTGAGGTTCTTCTTTCTCAAATGTGCTCCTCCCCTCTTTCCTTTCACAGGCTTCATTCAGATCTGCACATGGTGGTCTGAAGGCTTGCCATCCCTATCCTCCTTGCCCTTCAATCTTTCAGAGGTAAAACCTCCTCTCCCAATTAATTCTTATTACTCCTAATTCCATCTCAGCCTCTGCTTCCTTAATTAATCCTTATCTTTCTTGTTCAGCAGATTTAGAGTGAATTTGATAAATCTCTATTTTTAAAAAATTCTCCACAATTCTATCATTCAACCATGCTTCACCTCCACAGTGAGCAATTTTCATAAGTTGGTTCCTGTACAATAAAATTGAACTTTAATAAACTATCTTGGAATCTTTACTATGGTGCATTTTCTATTCCTGTTTTGACATTGTCAACTTTTGTTTTATTTTTCAATATTTAAACAGTCTTCTACCTAAATATGAGCCTAATCCCAAATACAGATGGATAAAAATTAATAAATGTCAAGATCAGGGTAATGTTATCTATTGTGCATAATGCTTATTATGGTTTGGATATAAGATGTTCTCCAAAAGCTCACGTGTGAGACAATGCAAGAAGGTTCAGAGGAAAAATGATTGGGTTGTAAGAGCCTTAACCTAGTCAGTGTTTAATCCCCTGGTAGGGATTAATTTAGTGGTAACTGAAGTGGTAGTGTGCATCTGAGGAGGGGGGAATTGGGGCGTGGCCTTGGGGTATATATTTGTATCTGGCAAGCGGGAGTCTCTCTCTGCTTCCTGATCACCATGATGTGTGCTGCTCCCTTCTGCCACACACTCCGCCATGATGTTCAGCCTCATCTCAAGCTCGGAGAAATGGAATCAGCACTCTATGGACTAAGACCTCTGAAACCGTGAGTCCTCTAATAAACATTCCCTCCTCTATAGTTGTTTTGGTCAGATCCTTTAGTCACAACAGTGAAAAAGCTGACTAAAACACTGCTCGACAATATTTCTAAGCAAAAACAATGGACTAGAGTTTTCTTTGGTGAAGTCAAAATGGTTTCATGAAAGTATCATGTGTCCAGTGTCCTTAAATAGATTACAAATCCCTTTAATGATAAAGCCTAAAATAACTAAATGTCTGAAGGGAGGAAAACATATTAACAACCAAATAATTGTCTTAAATGACTCAGATGAAACAACTGATTTTGTTTTAATTTCTATCATATCATGATGAAAAATCTTTTAATGTTTGTCCTGCTATGGAGCAAACAGGCTTATTCTTCATAATTTTTATAGCTAAAATATTGTTCATGATATTAAAAATAATCAATATGCATATTCCAAACATTTTGCTCCACGGAAAAATAGGAGGATTGTGTAATTTTTTTGTTGTTATTTTTGTAGTGTTGGGGATTGAACCCAGAGCCTTTTGCATGCGAGGAAAACACTCTACCAACCTGAGCTATATCCCCAGCCCAAGGGTCATGCATTCTATGACCATTCTCTTAGCATACTGATTCCCCAAGTCCTCCATAGCATATTTAGCTGATTATATCATCTATAGACATTTGTTATTTGATAAATATATCAGAATAAAATGCACAGCATAAAAATACATAATGCCAATTTATAATGTCTACAAAATTTAGGCATTAGGTATCAACACTTATCTAGAGATACAATATGTTCAAAAGAATACAAAGTTTTCACGTGTGTTTTCTCCTTTGCAAACATGAAAAAATACAAATTTATTATTAAAAGGTATGATTATTATTATAATTTTATGTCATATTAGACCACTGGTTAATGAAAAGAAAAAAATGGAACTGAGGAATTGAGAATTTCTCTTATCACAATAAGAGTATTAGGAATGGCACAAACACTGTTGAAAGGAAAGTAAGTTCATACAATTTGACATAAAAACGAACACCAATTGATCCACCATTTGCACTCAAGAAAATTATTTCACAGACACACTTAAACAAATGCAAAGAGATATATCCAGATAAAACATTTGGCATTATATTGTTTATACCACAAACAAAACTTAAAACAATCTAAATGTTCACTGCTAGGGCAGGGACTAATTAAATTATCATATAGTGGAATTTATGTAGTCATTACAAAAGAATGAGGTAGCTTTGCTTCTGCTGATAAGAAAAGATCTCTAAGTTTGCATTATTAGCTTTTTATAAGAATATAACAGCATTACAGTATGTTCCCATTTGTATCTTGACAAGAAATGTGTAAATATATATATGTATATACATATAGTACAAAAACATATGTAAAATGGCATATTAATGCATACAACCACCACAGGCATATACACATGTCATATGTACATAGAAATTTCTAGAAGAATACATAAAAAACTATTGATGATTCTTCCTTCTGGAAAATTATTTCTTGAGGAAACATTTCACTATTCATTGTATTGCACCATTCAAATGTTATCATGAGCATGCACTTTCTTTGTGATAATAATGTCAGTTCTTCAAAAAATAGCAGCTGAGTCTAAAATTCCAATTGCAGAAAGATAGACATGCAAATTCATTAGAAAACCTCTGTCCTCCAAGAACCTTAGAAAGACTAATTTTAAAATAGGTCTTCTATTCAAGAACTGTAAGAAAAGCCAAACAGTAGTTGGACTGTATCTTGATTTGTTTTTCCTGGTGTTAGAGTCCAATAATTTATAAAGTATGGAGGCCCGTGCCATCAACTTCACTTTGTGACACCTGAGGTATCTCTACCTTGTTTATAGTATCATAAAGTGGATTATTCTTCTCTGTGTAGCTGGCATAGGGCTGCATTTCATCCTAAGAAAGAAGTCAAAGTCAAAATCAGTTCAGAAAGGCCAAAAATCATTATAGAAATTACCTGCTTTTTTTCTAACAGATGCCCACAGCTTTAGTGCATATCAATAGTGCTTATATTTGTGTCTCTGAGCTTACATGAACATTGGAGCAAGGTCTTGCTCTAATACCCTATCAAAAAGTATTTGTTGATTACTTACATCTGTGTGTGAGGTGATAGCTGTGTGGAAGAAGAAATAGACACTGGAGTGACATAAGAAGTATTTTTCTTTTTTTATTAAAGTATTATACATGGTAGTTGGAGTTATAATAAGTACTTCTCAAAAGAGAGAGTTAAAGACTTAGTAAGCTACTGCATACAAGAAATTAAGGAGCAAGATAGGTTTTACAGGAAATGATAATTGTCTTGAAAAAGGGAAGTCAAGAATTACAGATGGTTCCATGGGAAAGGAAACAACAACTCAGTTTCTTCAAAGTCCACAGGAGGCAAATATTATATGATTAGGATATAGTTTATGAGATGAAAATGTGGATTTGGGTGATGCATAAATAGTGCTTGATAGATAATTAACAAAAATAAGTACACCTAAATATCAGCATTGTAAAATCAGAGTTTTTTTAGTTTTGATGGAAACTCAACGGATGTAAATTACAAATGATGTTGCTAAATTTTCAGACTATGCACCTTAAAAGCTTGTAAATATTCTTTTCTGTCTTATCTTACCTCCTCAACAACTGTAGTAGCTTCTGGTTTTTTCAATTTACATTTTCTATAAAGATGAAATAAGCTGAAATGAATGCAGAAAATGTCATTGTTTAGATTGAAAAATGCAAAAGCAAAAAAGTATACCAAAGTTCATTTTGATAGAAACCAAAATAAATTGGGAATGAACTACCAGAAATGAATGAAGAATACTGCTTGTGCTTAATACACTCAATCGAGAAAATTCTGAATTTTAGAAAAGGAAGTAAAATTATGCAACAGAAACTTGAAGCAATAGAATATATGTGGCACATTTTTGGGTACATTAAAGGAACTATTATGATTATTTTCATAAATAAAAAAAAATTAATATGCACTGTGTCTCCCAAGATCCTGACCTAAATAGCCTAATTCCCCATGCTTGCATGCCTGAGTACTCTTCAAAGTATACATATCTAACACCTCCAAGAGACTCTTTTTGACTATGAGAGAAAGGCTATTAATATTCTAAGTTACCCAGTCTGTCAATTCTGTATGTCTGACTCTTTTCTGGTCCAATAAAGCTAAGACCAGAAAAACATTCATCAGTCAATACCTGTAACCGCTGATTTTCAAACAACAAATGAATCCCCCAATGACCAAAATAACAGGGATGAAGATGTATAGATAATACAGTTTTTCTGTTCCTTTGGCACCTGCAACATAGACAGAAAAATGTATGATTCAAATGTGGCAAATTCAGATAATGGAATATTATTCAGTGATTAAAAAATATATTAGCTACTAAGCCATGAAAACACATGAAGAAAACTTAAGTGTATATTGTTATGGTTTGCATATGAGGTATTCCCCCAAAAGCTCCTATGTTAATATAAAAATATTCAAAGGTGAAATTATCAGATTATGAGAGCTGTAACCTAATCGGTGCATTCTAATTTGAACAGATGAACTCGGAGATAACTGAGGCAGGTGGGGAATGCCTGGGGAAGGTGGATTCCTGGGGGTGAGCCCTTGAGGACTCTATCCTATCCCCCTGGATTCCTCCCTTGCTTCCTCTCTTTTCTCTTCTCTTTCTCCTCCTTCCCTGCCCTCCCCCCACCCTCGGCTTCCTGGCTGCCATGAACTCAGCAGCTTTCCTCCTTGCTGCCCTTCCATCATGATGCTTCACTTGACTGTGGGCCCAGAGGAATGCAACCCCCAAGCATGGACTACGTCTCTGAAACCATGAGCAAAAATAAACTTTTGCACCTCTAAGTCGGTCCTGTCAGGTATTTTGGTCACAAGGATAAAAAGGCTGACTAACACACATACTATTAAGTGAAACAAGCCAAACTGAAAGTCTACTTATTATATGATTCCAACTATATGGTATTCTAGAAAAGGCAAATCTTAGAAGACTGATTTAGTTTTTTTTTTTTTTTTTTCACTGCTGTGACCAAAAGACCTTACAAGAACAATCAGAAGAGGAAAAGTTTATTTGGGTGCTCAAGGTTTCAGAGGTCTCAGTCCATAGACAGACAACTGCATTGCTCTGGTCTGAACAAGAGACAGTACATCATGGTGGAAGGGTGTAGAGGAGGGAAGCAGATGGGAATATTGCAACCAGGAAGGAGAACGAGAGATTCCCCTCATCATGGACCAAATATACCCAGAGGCATGCCCCAATGACCCACCTCCTCCAGCCATACCCTACTTGCCTACAGTTACCACCCAGTTAATACCTATTTAGGAATTAATGTATTGATTAAGTCAGGGTCTCATAATCCAAATACCTCACCTCCAAGCTTTCTTGCATTGTCTTACACATGAGCTTTTGGGGGACACCTCATATCTAAACTATTACAGAATCAATAAAAAGATCAATGATTGCCAGGAATAGAAGGCAAAGAGGAAGCACAGAGGATTTTTATAGCAGTCAGACTATACATGGAAATATACATTTGTCCAAACTCATAAAACGTACACCATCAAGAGTGAACCCTAATATGAACTGTGGACTTTGGGTAGTATGCCAATGTAGGTTCATGGATGGTAATAAATATAATACGTGGTTTGGGATGCCTATAGTAGGGGGGATTGTGCCTGGGTGGACCAGGGGTTATATGAAAATTTTATGTATTTCCACCCAAATTTTCTCTGAACCTAAAGTGCTCTAAAAAATAAAATCAATTCAAGTATACAATATGTATGTCATTCAATGATGTCTCAAAGTACATGAAATTCATTTTTTTAATTTTATTTTAAACACTTCTGACCCATTGATAGTTCAAATAATTATTATAATTAAATTGTTTTATCAGCTTAGACTTTAGAGCTTCCAGAAAGACATAATCTTAGTGAAGATTTGCTGCCTTAAGGTTCACAAATAATGAATTCCTAGAAAGATACAAAATTTAGATATCACTGTTATAGTAAGAGCAGAGTGCTTCTCACCTTCAGCATTCAGGAAAAAATGGTTCATTATAAAACAGGAAGGTAATTGGGAAAAGAACCCTAATTCTAAAGTCACCTTTCTTCTCAGGCATTGAAACTAAGATGAAGGTAAAGCAGCAACCTTAAATTATCTGTTAGCTTCTGGCCACAGTATAACTCAGTCAAACTGCACAAGTCAAAAAATAAATTGCCAGATCAAGAAGCATTGTTTTCAGTCTGGAGATTCCTTAGAAAACTTGAAATGGAACCACCATTTGACTCAGCTATCCTAGTCCCAAAGGACTTAAAATCAGCATACTATAGTGATGCAGCCACATCAATGTTTATAGCAGCTCAATTCACAAGGGCTAAACTAAGGAACCAAACTAGGTGCCTTTCAACAGATGTATGGATAAAGAAAATGTAGTCTATATACACAATGGAATATTATGCAGCCTTAAAGAATAATGAAATTATGGCATTTGCAGGTAAATGGATGTAGTTGGAGTATACCGTGCTAAGCGAAATAAGCCAATCCCCAAAAAACCAAAGGCCAAATATTTTCTCTGATATGTGGATGCTGATCCATACTGGGGGGGGGGGGAGGAGGTGCTAGGTTAAGAATGGAGGAACTTTGGATTGAACAGAGGGAAGTGAGGGGAGGGGACAAGGTTTGGGGGTGGGGAGGGTGGTGGAACGGGATGGATATTATTAGCCTATGTACATGTATAACTGCACGAACAGTGTGACTCTGCATCATGTACAGCCAGAGGTGTAAGAAATTGTGCTCCATTTGTGTACAATTAGTTGAAATGCATTCTGCTGTCATGTATAACTAATTAAAACAACAACAACAAAAAAAAACGAAGCACTATTTGCAAAACTGTGCTCCTGTGTTTCATGAATGTGGCTTGAGGGCAGCAGAAGGAGGAGGAAGTAGAGGCTGAGCAGGCTGGGGTCCAGTCCCTTCAACTTCCTTCAATAATTCACGTTTTTAAAAGTTGAACTTCTCAGTATTTTATTTGAAAAAGAATACTTGGCTTTTATTGTTAAAACAATAACATTGTTTTTGAAATTCTCTTTTCCAAACTGATGATCTATCTCTTACTGGATGTGCAAGGAAGGCAGACTAGATCTTTGCACTATATGGAAGTTTGGACTAGATGGTCCCTTCGATTTTACATTCTATAAATATGGCATCTTGTCATAACACTGGACGGTGGATTTCATGTACCACCAAGACACAATTACTCTTCTCAATAAATACTGCTAGATTCTTTTAAAACAAAACAGGAATGAATATTGAAAAATTGTGATTTAAACACAGACTTTGCTCTTCTCCCTTTTTAAAACTTACTAAAATATCAGTAAGAAAAGGTTTAAAATACAGACTTCCAAAGACAAAGAGAACAGGAATGAAGACAAGAACAGATGAAAGATTACAACCTGTTTTTGAGTAAAAAGAAAATAAATGGAAGAATTGCAAATGATTTAAACAGTGAAATAAGTGAAAATTTTAGTGCCCACAAACCTCCAGAAAGAATAGAAAGCATCAAATATTCTAAAATCACTAGAGGACTTTAAAATGGTCTTTCCATGAATAAATGATAAATATTTGAGTTGAGAGATATGCTAATTACTGTGAAAGATCATTTCACAATGTAGAGATGTATCAATTTATCACTTTATATCCCATAAATATATAAAATTATTATGTCAATTACAAATAAAATAGAGCTTTAAAAAGAGATAAATGTGTAAAAGCAATAGAAAAAGTAGTACCTGGCAGGGGACTAAAGTGTAGGGCTAAAAGTTGGGAGTATCTCTGAAAGTCTGTGTTAGAGCAGATAAACTGCAGCCAGGCACAGCGGTGCATACCTGTAATCCCAGACACTCAGGAGGCTGAGACAGGAGGATCAGGAGTTCAAAACCAGCCTCAGCACAGCGAGGCGCTAAGCAACTCAGTGAGACCCTGTCTCTAAATAAAATACAAAATAGGGCTGGGAATGTGGCTCAGAGGGCCAAGTGTCCCTGAGTTCAGTGCCCAGTACCCCTCTCAAAAAAAAAGAAAAAGAACAGGTAAGCTGCCAAGTGCCCTGCCACACCCTTCCCCAACAGTAAAAGGGGCGTCTGGTCTCAGAAGGTGATCTAGAGTCAAGGATCCAGACATCATGGAGTGTGGAGATGAGGTGCCAGACTGCAGAGCAATACTAGAGGGAGGGCTGGGCTCTGAAAAGTGCCTTCAGAAAATAACTCTCCAGTCTCCTGCCTCAGAGGGAAAGCCTGACCGTCAGTGGTCTGGGAAGGGAGAATGAAATACTTCTATTAAGTACATGTGTGTTCTTTTAAAAATATACTACTCAACCCGATTTATGATCAGCATAGAAGTGAGCTTTAAAAGTAGAATAAACTATATTCTAAAATATTGCTTTTTACAACAATGTATGTGATATTCTTCTAGACCTATCTTTTTATTTTGGAAACCAGAGATTAAAGTGGAGGCTAAAGTGGAGTATCTATAAATGAAATTTCTCTGTACATTCTTTTTTCCTTTCTGACATAATGCCTCTAAAAGAATGGGGGGGGGACTAGAATTACTAACCAGGAAGCAGATCTATGGATTGATTCCTGTTGCCAGTCAGGTGGGAGACCAAGCAGGTCACGGTGGACACATTGCCATCTGGATAATGGCACCTACTCCTGGTCGTCACTGTGCCATTGTCCTGGTATTCTTTCCCAGTGACACAATCCCCCGCTGGGGCCCAAAAAATCTGTGCAGCTGGCCTTCCTGCAATTGCTTTGCACTCCACAGTTCTATTCTTCCCCGGAGACAGGGTCACTTCAGGGGGCACTGCAGAGATGGAAGGGAAATCATGCTTCAGTCTCAACATACGGTTATGGGATTACAGAGACATCTGTTTCAGTCACAAATCCAGTAACCCAAAATATCACAATAGATGGCATTCTTTACCTAACACTTGGAGGTGATATGTACGTTCAAAATTTCCATCAGTTGTTCCCATTTCACACCTGTAATCCCCTTCATGTGAGATGGACACTGGATGGATCTGAAGTTCAGGATTCTGGTCAGGTCTGGAGGCCCAGGAGATTCTCCCATCAGTACAGTTGTTTTTCCCGGTCTCATTTGTTTCTCTGTTGAGGGAAATGGTGCACGAAGGCTTGTCTCTGAGGTGTATTTTCCATGATGTTAGTATCAACACTGATGTTGGTGGAATATGAGGGCAACAGAGCACAGCCTTTGTACCCATCTGCACAGCCAGCCAAGTGTTATCTGGACATACACAAGGAGAATGAGAAAAGAAAGCCTTGATAAAGAACTTTGTGTTTTCGATTTTTCATGGTACTATCTTGACAATGGTACTCATAAATTACTAAAGAGTCTCCATTTATGAAACACCTAACTGTCAACCATTTTATACAAGATAACCCTGCCTCACGGAAGATTACATAAAGTTGTACTAGAACCTTGCTTTCCTGGTGATCTTATTCCAGATTTACACAATAAGTTAACTTTCACAAAAATATATAATGTATCAAACCAAATCCAAATGTTGACCAATTTATTCTAATTTATTCATTAATGTAGAAAGAATATTCATTATGAGAATATTGGAATTAGATCAGAATTTTGGTATATAGAAACAGACAAAAGAGAGAATTATAGATTAAATGACAAAAGCAGTGTCCTAAATCTAATGTTTTGGTGATGAGCAATGTTGGATTTATCATATAATTTATGATGGAATAATTGGTCATATGGCTGTCTCCCCTTGAGTTTTGATAAGTAAAAAATATCAGTAACTTCAAATCTAAATGCCAATCCTTAACTGTTGACACAGATGTGAAAAGTATATGGTAGTTTCATTAAAAGTAACTCAAATGGAATTCAGGTTGAACTAGCTAGAAACTTTATGTTTTCGGGCAATAAAAAGGTCAGGGGAATTAACAGAATTTAGAATAATCTGCTGTTTCATCAAATTAGTAATTACATGAAAATTAAAAATGATGATGTCTAGTGATAAGAGATGTCTAAAAATATTTATTTCTGATGAAAAAACAGTGTGGCATATAAATTAAGAAACAAAGAAAAAAATTGTTTTTGGATTGCCAAGGTGTTATATTGTCAAATACAGCCTTTAGATAATTTTTGCTTTCTTGCAGTTCAGTTAAACATACACTTCCAGAGAGTGCAGATGGCCTGCCTGCAATTGCTTTTAAGTAAATTTTGATCACAGATTTGGTTTCTGTATGTTCAATCTAGTTATCAGATTCAATACAAAAGTAGATTCTTTTGTACCTCTTTTAAAGGAAAAAATTAAGCTCTGTGACCTTCAAGCAATTTTTAACACAGACCCTCACACTTCTCATAAACCAACATGAGCTGTCCATGACTGAGAGTGGTTTGCCGAGAGATGATTACTCAACCAATGCATCTGCCATAGCTCATCTCTAACAAACGTGAGGTCAGTGTCATCATCACTTTAACATGGGCAGAAGCAGCTATGGTGGGACAAACTTTTTATGTGAATGAACCTTGGTTGTGCTAAACTCTGTACTCAACAACATCTCTCCTTTCCATTATAGGGTCACTTGTCTCTTCTGGGTATTCATGGTCAGCTAAAGATCACATAACTAGATGAAGAAAGAGAGAGGACTTGAACTTAGGGCTGAGAGGAAGTTCAACCCATGTTCTTTCCACCACTCCAACTTGACAAAGTTGTAGAGGCAAGTAAGACTGAGCCTTGTTTGGGGAAGCAAGCAGTGGTTGGATCATCGGGGTACCTCACACCACAGCACTGAGATCACCATATTCTATAGTTATACATGAGGCTGGCCACTGTCAGGCCATCAGCCACTGTAACTAACAAAGTTCAACCCCTCAATGCTGGCCCTCGATAAGGAAGCACATTACCTTCTGTAGGAGATAATGTCTGATTTCCATCCACGCATGAACTACTTGAATCTAGAAAATATTTAGAGAGGCATAAATTAAATGAATTTTATATTCTCAAATATGTGGATCTATTATCTCTCAAAAAAGTCTCATTTACAGGAAAGACAATCAGTTAACCATCACTAAAATTACACAGAAATCATTGCAAAATAGAAATTAGAAGTGTGCCACGTAGGGGTAAAATCATGGTACTATCTTGACAGTGATACTCATAAGTTATTAAAGAGTCTCCATTTATGAAATACCTAACTTTGTCAACCATTTTATAAAAGATAACCCTGCCTCCCTTCTTCTACTCCCAGCCCCCTTCTCAGCCCCTGGGGGACTGATCCAGTGTAGGCATTTCACATGAACTGATCTGGTTAAACTCTCTTCCCCATGTGCCACTCCGTACTTAAAGTTGGTCCAATGACAGGCACCTCACCCAAATGGACAAAGCAGAGCCCCTTTCCTCAAGGATTTTAGAATCAGAATTGACAAGCGTCAATCCATCCCTCTTCTTTCCCTATTGTTCCCTACTTTGGAAGAAAATAAAGGAAAAATATGCAGAATCAAAAGGAGGAACCTAGATTAGAGTCCTTATAGCCTTCAGCTTTCTAGTTCAATAGTTCCTGAGACCCACATGCTTTTCTTCCTTTGGGTTCTATAGAATTGCTTAAAGTCAATTTAGACCTCATGAACTTCAAACTCAGTTTCTAAAAGATTGCTAAATTGCAATTTTATTTTATTTTTGTGTGTATGTATTGCAAATGTTTATCTTCTATTCCATTCCTCATTTTTCAATTTCATGATAGTGGTTTTTTTAATTGATTTTTTTAATACACAAAGCGGAATGCATTACAATTCTCATTACACATATAGAGCACAATTTTTCATATCTTTGTATATAAAGTATGTTCACACCAATTCATGTCTTTATACATGTACTTTGTTGTGTTTTTTTTTTTAAAAAAAGCATTTTATTTTAAAAGCAATTACACAGAGGACAGGTTGGAAGAATTAAGACTATTTTTTTTAAGTCCTCATATTACCCATGAAATACTATTGTATTGGTTGAAAGTGAACTTGGACCAACTGTAAATATATTACAACCCCTGCAAGTAAAAAAGCACAACTGATATGCTAAAAAAGAAAAAAAAATCATACAAAATAATTAAAATCCATGAAAGGCATAAAAATAAATATAAGGAACAAAGAATATGGGCAACAAATAGAAAATAGTAATAGCTATGATAAATATTAATTCAAATATATCAGTAATCACTTTGAATATCAATAGTCTGAATGTACCATTAAAGGACATTTTATCAGGATGGATTAAAAAGCAAGATGAACCTGTATGTTGTCCATAAGAAATGCCCCATAAATATAAAGACACATATAGTTTAAAATGAAGAGAGAAAGGTATATCATGTGCTAGCCCTAATCAGAAGAAAACAGTAATCGCTATATTAACTTGGGGCAGAAAAGAGATAAGACCAAGGAATGTCATCGAAGACAAAGAGAACTACATAATGATAAATGGGTCAATTCTACAAAATGACATGACAATCCTTAACATGTATGTGCCTAAGAAAAAAGCATCAAAACATATGACACAAAAATTGATATAACTTCAAGAGAAATATATGATCCACTATTATTGTTGGAGACTTCAACACCTCTGTATGAGAAATAGATTCAGCAGGCATAAAATGGGCAGAATTTAGCTTAACTTAACAAAATTGTCTACCAACTGGACATAATGGACCTCTAAAGAACATTATGAATAACTCTATGCCCACATTCACATCAAGCTCATCTAACAGATGCACCAAAAATAAACCACATTATGAAGCCATAGGACATATAGTAGCAAATATAAAAGAATAGAAATCATACAATGTCTGCTCTCAGCACAGTGAAATTAAAATAGAAATCATTAACATAGAGGTAACTGGAAAATCCCACAATTTTAGAGATTATACCACACATACTAAATAATGCATGGATGAAAACAGAAATCTCACAAATTTAAAAATATTCTGAAGTAAATGAAAATAAACTTTTCCAAATTTGGGGGAAATAACAAAAGTTGTGTTTACACAGAATTTGTAGCATTGAATGCCTATATTAGAGATAAAAGATGTAAAATCAGCCAAACTCCAACTTTAGGATACTATAAATAAAAGGTGAAATTAAATTCAAAGAAGCAGAAGGCAGCAGCAAGGCAAAGTGGTGCATGCCTGTAATCTCAGCGGCTCCAGAGGCTGAGGCAGGCGGATCATAAGTTCAAAGCCAGCTTCAGCAAAAGTGAAGCTCTAAGCAACTCAGTGAGACCCTGCCTCTAAATAAAATACAAAATAGGGCAGGGGATGTGGCTCAGTGGTTGAATGCCCCTGAGTTCAACCCCCGGTAAACCCCCCCCCCAAAAAAAAAGAAGCAGAAGAAAATACATAATAAAATTAGAGCAAAATCGATGAAATTGGGAAAACAATTAATAGAAAAAATTAACAAACCATAGATTTGTTAATAGATTGTTCTATGAAAAGAACAATAAAATTGATAAGCCCCTTGCCATACTAGTTAACGAAAAGAAAGCATGCAAGGTATAATATATGAATGAAAGAGGGGACATCATTACAGATTATATGGACATTAACAGAAAAATAAAAGAACATTATGAATAACTCCATGTCCACAAATTGGATAACTTGGATGAAAGACAATTTTGTAGAACTCATACAAGAAAAAATAGGCAATCTTAATAGGCTTATATAAATTAAACAAGTTGAATCAATAATTAGTAACCTTATAAACCAAAAAAAAAAAAAAAATTCAGGCCAAGAAATGTTCACTGGTGAATTCTGCCTAATAGTTAAGGAAGAAATTATTCTGGTTCTGTGCAATCTCTTTTAGAAGATATAAAATGCTCTACAAATTTTAGAAAATGAAATCCAAGAATGTAAAAAGGATTATACTCCATGACCAAGTGGGATTAGTCCCACATATGTAAGGCTAGTTCAACATCCAAATATCAATTAAATCAATTTAAAAAATCATCACATCACTAAAAAAGAAAAAAATCACATAATCATATTAATATAGGTAGAAAAATCACTTGACTAAATTAAATCCAACACTTATTCATGATTTAAAAAAAAAAAAGCAATCCCAGTGGCTCCTGAGGCTGAGACAGGAGGATCACGAGTTCAAACCCATAATCAGCAACAGTGAGGTGCTTAGCAACTAAGTGAGACCCTGTCTCTAAATAAAATACAAAATAAGGTGGGGATGCGGCTCAGTGGTTGAGTGCCCCTGAGTTCTTGGTACCAATAAATAAGCCAATAATAATTAATGGTGAGAAAACAGAGCTTTCCTACTAAGATCAGGAACAAGGTAAGGACAATCACTTTCATTATTGCTTTTCAACTGGATGTTCTCACGAATGCAATTTAGATAAGAAAAGGGATTACAGAAAATACAGATATGAACACAGATACAAAATTACTTTCATAGTTTATGTCCACATGAAAACCTAAACACAGATATTAATAGCAGCTTTATTCCTTCCCCCTCCTTCTTTGGTAGTCCTGGGGAATGAACCCAGGGAATGGCTCAAGCAAGGCACTGAACTACAACTCCAGCCCTTGAGAGCAGCTTCATTCCTAATTTTCAAAACTTGGAAGCATCAAGATATTCTTTAGTAGGTGAAAGGATAATCGAATGAAAGAAAATAGAATATTACTCATTACTTAAAAGAAATGAAATAGCAAGTCATGAAAAGACATGGAAGACATTTAGATGCATATTATTAAATGGAAAAAAAATCCAGTCTGAAAAGGGAACATACTGTATCATTCCAACAACATGGCATTCTAAAAAATGCAAAACTATAAAAACAGTAAAAGATCGTGAGTTGCTAGGGGTAAGAGGTAAGATGAATAAATGAAGCAAAAAAGATTTTTAGGATAGTGAAACTACTCTATGCAATACTATACTGGTAGAAAAATGTAATTAAGCATTAATCCAGATCCATAGAATATAAACACAAGATTGAACACATAACAAACTAGGACTCTGTGTAGTGATGATGTATCAAATGTGTAGATTTATCAGCTGTAACAAATGTACTATTCAAGTGGGGGAATGTCAATAATGGGGGAGGCTTGGTATGTGTGGGGGCAAATCACTCCCACCCGTTAAGACTTGGTTGTTTAAAAGTGCTCTAGGATAATACTCTTAGGTTTCATTCATACTCCATTTTTAAAACATGGGATATTAAAAGTAGTATCAGAAACATGAGGATTTAACACACATAACATTAGAATGTGTATCCACACAAACACAAAACAAAATACAAACAAAAACTCCTGACACTGAAAATAATGTTAAAAAAAGAAAAAACTCCTTTTCCGTTTAAGTCAAAATCATCAGCAGATGTAAGAATGTTTTGTAATTTTACTACTAGTGAAACCTCTCAGTAACTTTGAGCAACAGAAGTTTCCTTTTCCATGTCATCACTGTCATACGCCTGAGCAAACACATAACCACCCACGCAGCAGACATTGCATAGCCATGACTATGCAAACCCAGACTCCATGAAGCTTCCTCCAGCGAGAGGAAAGGCTCTCAGAAACAGCGCGTGACTTTCTTGTGATGTTCAACAGTTTTCGTCTGTTGTAAAAGGCTGTACTGTCTGTGCTATACTCTAAAAAAAATCTAGAAATAGTATTTCTGAAATTTCATCATTCCCAATAACAACTCCAGATTCAGTAACTGTTACTAACCAAATAGAGTATGGATTATGCCAAACTAAAATAGTTAATATCATTGTTAACATTTATTTATTATTACTAAAGTTTAGAGATAGTAAGCAAAAAAAAAAAAGTCCTGTGCTTTCATTCATTTGCAGGTCTTCTGATGGAATACAAACAACACAATTAGGTAACTGATGAAACTGTGGACTAAAAAATAATAATAATAACGCTACGATTCCATAAGATAACTATATAACCTAAGAGAGAATA